GCTAAGATGGGCGCAGCTTGATACGACCGCAGAGGTCGAACCCTGAACAGTTGGGGCAAGTATGGACACAACATTCAAGCTTGATACAGCACTGAATTTGGATTGTGATTAAATATTTGACACAGCATAGGTTTCTGACACAGAATGAATGTGGTCTAAGAACTTAAAAATTTTTGATTCACCTATTCAAACCATATCATTATTATTTGCTTTTATATTTAAATCAGAAATAACCCAATTTAAAATGGAAAATTTTAAAGAAAAATAAGGGGAAAAAAATCCCCCCCCCCCCAATTTTTTGAACCCCCTTATGATTCATCACCCCCAAACTCAATCCCAGCCTTCCATTTTGTGGTATGGTACCTTGCAGTACAATTTCAGAGAGATCCATACACTTGAACACAAGTTATTGTCTGGAAACTAGAAAAATGCTTGTTTTTTGGCCCCTTTTTGGCCCCAAATTCCTAAACGTTTAAGGCAATTACTCCCAAACTCAAACCCAGCTTTCCCTTTGTGATATGGAACCTTGTAGTACAATTTCAGAAAGATCCATACACTTACACATAAGTTATTGTCCGGAAACTAGAAAAATGCTTGTTTTTTGCCCTTTTTTGGCCCCTAATTCCTAAAATTTTGAGGCAATTACCCCCAAAATCAATCCCAGCCTTTCATTTGTGGTATGGCACCTTGCAGTACAATTTCAGAGAGATCCATACACTTGAACACAAGTTATTCTCTGGAAACTAGAAAAATGCTTATTTTTTGCCCCTTTTTGGCCCCTTATTCCTGAACGTTTCGGGCAATTACCCCCAAACTCAATTCCAGCTTTCCCTTTGTGATATGGAACCTTATAGTACACTTTCAGAAAGATCCATACACTTACACACAAGTTATTGTCATGAAACTAGAATAGAAAAATGCTTGTTTTATGCCCCTTTTTTGGCCCCCTAATTCCTAAACGTTTCAGGCAATTACTCCCAAACTTAAACCCAGCTTTCCCTTTGTGATATGGAACATTGTAATTCAATTTCATAAAGATCCATACACTTACACACAAGTTATTGTCCGGAAACTAGAAAAATGCTTGTTTTTTGCCCTTTTTTGGCCCCTAATTCCTAAAATTTTGAGGCAATTACCCCCAAAATCTATCCCAGCATTCCCTTTGTGATATGGAACCTTGTGGTACAATGTCAGAGAGATCCATACACTAACACACAAGTTATGTCTGGAAGTTACAAAAATGCTTATTTTTGGTCCCCAATTCCTTAACTGTTGGTACCATAACCCCCAAAATCAATCCCAATCTTCCTTTTGTGGAATTAAACCTTATGGTAAAATTTAGAGTGCGAAAACTAATGTGGGTTGGGACGACGACGACGACGTCATACCAATATACGACCGCAAAATTTGTTTGCGGTCGTATAAAAATTGCCATAACTCAAGAACGGTAAATGACTCACAACCCAAATTTGAATCTTTGTTTGCATGTTGTGGTTCTTAGCATTATGTACGAGTTTCACAAAATTTGGATGAGACAAACTTAAGTAAGAAACGAAAAGAATTTGCAATTTTTCAAGTTATAAATGGGCATAACTGTAGAACGATTAGTGACTCACTGCCCAAATTAAAACTATTTCTGCTAGTTTTGGTTCTTAGCATTGTGTATGAGTTTCATGGAGTTTGCATGAGGCAAACTTAAGCTAGAGTGCGGAAACGAAAATAGTACAGACGGAAGGACAGTCAAGGGTAACACTTAATTCTTTTAAGGCCTTCAACAAATCATGGTAGGCCTAAGAACATTTTGACGAAACAATATATATATTTTATCAATTTGATGCTAACGGTAGCAAAAAAAATCCATTTGAAGGCTGACCGGGTAAATGGGCATTCCTATCCTCGTGAAAATGAAAAAAATGGAAAATTGGGAGTTATGAAAATGACGTGTTTCGGCGTCACACACAATATAGACATGCTTGGGCGTAGAGTGACGTCATATAGACACGTTTGGGGGATTGGACACGTTTTAGGGGAAGGACACGTTTCTGAGTGTTACAAACATAACAGAAATTACAAGAACAAAAAGATGGAATCAAACATTATGATGACTTAGTCTTTGTGCACAGTAATCATATACAAATTGCAATACAGAACATTGAAAAATGTATATTTATTCATGCAGTCGTTAAAATTCAACACTTATATTTTTATTCCAAATTCTCACAATAAAGTATAATCTGTATGTTGATGTCTTTTTCTTTTGCCATCGGGTAAACACATCTGCTTTTATTCATGTATCCATATTGTAAAGTCTATGTAATTCTTCAGGTCATTAAAAGCAATTCACAGTTTAATGGTGATCATTCATGACTACAATAACCAAATTTCATAACAGACCTGCGGTTAAGATGATATTTTTATTTATTTGCATCAGGCAAATTGAAGGAATATACTACTGAAAAAAAATTTAGCTGACCCATTGGATTTTTTTGTTTGTGTCTTGGCCAAACAAGTGAAATGCAAACAAGTTCCCATCATTGTTTCTTGAAAGAAAGCAGAAACTTTTCACAAGAGGAAAACACTATTTTAGAATAATGCAAGCAGGGTTTTCCATCAAAGGTATCAATATTTAGGTGACTTACATTACTGTTATTGGTGTGCTTTGAATAATGTACAACCCAAGCTATACATGTGTTAACCAATTTCCTTGCAAGAGTTCAATTCTATTTCATTTTTCCTAAAAGCTATTTAATAAAAAAAATCTGGTTATGAAATCAACATTTTGTGAAAATTTGACATAATACTAGATTTTCATGCAATAAACTGTTGACACAGAAATGATATGTCTTTCTTTTTTTCTAATCTTGATAGTGTAGTGTAAATGATGAACACAAACTTTTACATGTAAACTATGCAAAAGTTTCAAAGTCAATGAACCTGATGAGGGGGCCATATAATCTCCATTGAAATGAGATGTGCCAATGCTTATACTACTGCATACCAAATATCATTGACCTCCCACTAGTATTTCCTCAAAAACTGACCAAATCACACTCAGGTCCACACGCTGAAATGTCTCGCTTGCTTTACTGACCATTGATTTTATGTTGATAGTCCTAAATATAAAGTTTTACTACAAGTATCACATAAACACAATAAACAGCTGTGCCATGAGCTAATGATACGCCCATTGCATTTTTTACGAAATAAAGTTCAATAACTTCTAAATGTTATATCAGAAATTGGTGAAAAACTAAATGGAGGTTATCTTTATAGATATAAACCAGTCACCAAAGTTTAATGAAAACTGCTCAAAGCACTTTAAAGGTATTGTCTGAAAAGTAGAAAATCACCCCTTTTTTATGAATAAAATCCCATAACTCAGAAGTGTAAAATCTAAAACTTATAAAAATTGAAAGGGAGCTTACATCAATAGATATAAACAATTCTCCAAAGTTTCATGAGAACTGCTGAAAGCATTTTTGAGTTATTGTCAGAAAACTGAAAAATCCCCCCTTTTTTTTTAATGAATAAAACTCCATTACTCAGAAACATAAAATCGAAAATTTATAACAAATCAAAAGGGAGCTCATGTCAATAGATATGAACAATTGACCAAAGTTTCTTGCAAATTGGTGAAAGCATTTTTGAGTTATTGTCGGAAAACTGGAAAATCCCCCTTTTTTAATGAATAAAACGCCACAACTCAGAAACGTTAAATCTAAATTTGATAAAAAACGAAAGGGAGCTCACATCAATAGATATGAACAATTCACAAAAGTTTTATGCAAATTGGTTGAAGCGTTTTTGAGTTAATGTCTGACATGTTGACCACGGACGGACAGACAGATGGACAACGGTATACCATAATACGTCACGTAAAGGGGCGTATAAAAACATAACATTCATCAATAAACCGTAAAAATGACGTCAAGATCAAATAAAACCTGCCAGACAGACATATACACCTCACAATCATTCCATACACCAAATATAGTTGACCTATTGCTTAGAGTTTAAGAAAAACAGACCAAAACACAAAAACTTAACATTGAGCAATGAACCGTAAAAATGAGGTCAAGATCAAATAAAACCTGCCAGACTGACATGAACACCTTACAATCCTTCCATATACCAAATATAGTAGACCTATTTCTTATAGCATCTGAGATATGGACTCGAGCACAAGAACCTAACCTTGTTCACTGATCCATGAAATGAGGTTGAGGTCTAGTGAAAACTGTCCTGACAGGCATGAGGACCTTGCAAGGTAGGCACATACCAAATATAGTTATCCTATTACTCATAATAAGAGAGAAATTAACATTGCAAACAATCTTAACTTTTATTTTAAGTAATCACTGAACCATGAAAATGAGATAAAAGACAAAGGACATATTATAGACGGAAACTTCATATCATAAGGCATCTATATACAAAGTATGAGGCATATGGTATCTGATTTGTCCAACAATTTCAGGGGTCAGGAAGAATACATAAAGTCTCAGAGGGTACACTAAGCAAAAAACGGTAATGTCAAGGAACTCTTAACATATACTGTCAAATCAAAATGGTAGTATAGTATGTTTAACTGACAAACAATCTTACCAAGTATGAAAGGTTTCAGAAGAGTAGCATTGTGTAATGCCACAAAAGTCCATAAAATGGTAAAGCCCCATAGCTCCCACAAATATTGTCAAACAAAAAAGGTAGTATACTATAATCAACTAAAAGTGATGACATGAAATTCTTAAAGTACAAAATCTTTTAGACATATGGTCTCAAAAAAGTAGCTGTCACTAAAATACTGATCAAAAAGTCCCATAACATCATATCAAAATTGCCCCATAGTCTAGTCAAAATTAATGTTCACGAGGTATTACATATTACATGGACAGACAGGTTAAACATGTACAGTGTCCATCTGCATTCCGGTATGGACAAAATAGAACCAGATTAATTCAAAGTGGGAATGTTCAAATTGCCATCAACTAAAAACAAGATTTAATCAAGTTTTGACACCTTTATATCCTTGATATAATAATAAAAACAAATTAACAAATAAAACACTGTGTCTATATCAACAGAAATGGTTTTTATACTTACTAGACATACTCTACATAACTAGCAAAGACATCTTTGCTCTTTTGTTCGTATACTAAATTAAGAAAAAATTCTATAAAAAATTCTATAACATAACATTGTCTATTGAGATTATAATACATGCAAACAAACATAAAATGTGATGTTAATCCACTTCACTTTCAACAAAATTAAATAAAAATGCTTGATATTTTTCATAAAATTTTGTTCTTCTGACAGCAGTTTTTATTCCAAGGTATCAAAATATATTATATTTTTGTGATGCAAGTCAGGAATTTTTTACATTAAGAATGCACCAACTCAATCTTGAACTTACAAGAATTTATCGTTGATCTTCTGTCATATTTATATCAGTCATGTGTGAATATATATAAAGACTTCTGTTAATCTCTAAAAAAAATGTATATATCTATTCTATTTGAATTAACATTTAATTTTTAAGATACATAAGTTCTTCCATTCTATAAAAAGGCATGTATTACTAGAGGGTTGGACAAATTAAACAAGGTATACCAGTGGCACCAATCGGATTGCATTACATGTACTAAAGAATGAAATCTTCAAATTCAATGTGGATCAATGAATTACACAAGGGCTATTGTATTTAAAACAAAATTTGGTTTACAAAATTTTTAGTTGCAATTCAGTTTTCTACATTTAATACAGCAGTTAGACATCAATAAGTGGAAATATCAATAAACCTAAAAATTACCTATATGTTGTCTTTTAATTTAATAGAGATAAGTTATTAACTATAATTCAAATGAATTGTTCACTCTTTATAAGTATCTCTTTTAGAGAATACTAATTTTTCAAAATTTTAAAGGTATTCACCTCACCCTGAATTTTCTTGAAGATGGTGTAGATAACACAATACTGATCTTATACATGCCTTTCTATAGTAATTCATCAAATAATCATTTATTCATTCAAGCTTTATGTAAAAAGAAATGGAAATAAATGCTTAAAGTTTTACTGTAAGACTAGTAAACTGCAAAGGAGTATGTTCAGAAAGGGCCTCATTTGGCAAAACACAATTATTTCGATTCTATATAAAATGCATTATCCTCTGCACCAATTTTTGTTTATAAATGTTTTGTACACATTAGCTACTTTCGCTATGAGCCAACAACTGAGTTTGGTTGATCCTGCCCCATGTAAAAAAAAATACTTTAGAACAGAAAAACATACCAAAGATAGAAAGTAAAATTCTATTTGATTATTTATATCAAAGATGCTTGTCAATCTCATTAGGAAATTTAAAACTGAACTCATTTCTGACAGGCAAATTTTTACAGTAACTTACTCTAATATTACAAACACAATGAACATGTAACAAAGATAATTTCAAAATTACATCAGTTTCTAACATTCAACTACTTTTAGAACTAAATCGTATGTGAAAAATAGAACGTCATTGTGTTACAAAGAATACATATCCTAGTCTACCACACTGTATACAAATTGGCAACAAAATATCAAAATGAAAGACTTATTAAGCTAATTTTTTATCTGCATATTATTTACAAGTCTAAACAAACACATATTATATGACAACAAGGAAATAGTAGTTAACTGACAACAATAAACTGTGGAAAAAATGATTGAATGTTTACAATTCTTACAATGACTTTACACAGGGATTTTGACTTCTGCAATAATTACTACATATGTGCTTACTATTTATTACACGTTAACCAATAGTTTTATCTTCTATGTATGATGAAGTTACAAAATAGTGGATTGGCTTGCCTGTCATAACAATCTGCTTAAAACAATTTAACAAACAATTAAATTATATTTGAAATGTTTGTATGTGCCAGTAGTTAATTTTTTCCAAGTAAACAATAAATCTCATACCTTCAAATTTCATGCCCTTGCAATAGGTCCTTGAAAAATTAATTTGCAGCAATAAAATCAATAATAGCAGTGTACATTTCAAATTTTTTTCTTGACATTTTACTCACAAGATGATGTACAAACAATATGAAGATCTCAAACAAATAATATGAAGATCTCAAACAAACAGTAAAATCTCGCTGTTAGAAACAGGACACTATACTTTTCTATATAAGCACCAATACTAGCCTTTTTTGAACACATTAATTTTTTATAGTCTTTGAAAGTGGAACAAATTTCACATTGATTTAGACTCAAAATATATGTATCCTGAGATGATAATATTAGAAATATTGAAGTTTTACAGACCACAGAAATTTTACATTCATATAAGATAATTTTAAAACAAAATTTGTTTTGTCTGGAAAAATAATATGAATCATTACTTTTTTAATTAGAATTGCTTTTATGTTGTCTATTTTATTGTGAACAGAACCAATAAAATTCAGTGCACTGAAGATAGATATATGATAATCTAGATTGGTATCATAAAACCTACCCAACAAAAAAAAAATTTACTTTGAAATTCCAAAATTCCAAAAAATGAGGTTAATGTCCACAATAAACAAAGAATATATCAATCTTATAATATGGTTAAGCCCTGATGAAACCAACAACCTATCAAATTGTTACATTTACATAAATTTGTGGATAATCAATAAATATAGATCTACTACACCTTTGCTTGTTAATTACAATATTTATCAACTGAAGATAATTAAAATGTGAAAAAAAACTATCCAGTAATATTGACTGTTATGTTTTATCTCAAATGAATTGGTTATACGTCCTTTTATTACATTGGTTGTAATGAAGTACTATCATTTCCCAGTAAATAAAAACCGATAACTTCACATAAGAAAAAAATCCCATAATCACTCCTCTCACCTCATACAGTAATGGGTGTTTCTAAGAGATTGTGGATGACGTTCCATCAAAATGAATAAAAAAATGTGAAGAAAAAGATATAATTTCTGGCATTTTCTACTTTATTTCCATTAAAAAGTCCATGGTCAAGTAATAAAAAGAAAAACTGATCCAAGAATTCATATATAAAAAAACATTCAACTTGTGACAGAACAACATTGACAATTAACTCATTGGCAACACATATTTATGAATTGATGTGTTGTTGATGTGTAGTTCAGTCAATCCTTGAATTTTTTTACATATTTGAATTTTGTGATCAGTTATTCTATAAATATTTCACCGTACTTATCACACACTAAATTGTAAACAATGAAAATGACATTTTTTACTCTGGATTAACCAATCCTTCAAATGATGATACTTTTCAACAAGCAAGACTGAGAGTGCTGAGAGTACATGTTGACTAAGTTTCAGTAATAAATTGGCTGAGTAATGATTAAATTGTGTACAAATTAAAAAAAAATTTACAAACTATAAAAAGATGTGTTCTTAAATTTATAAAGTAGGCATACCAACAATTCTATTTTTAATATATCAGTGCCAGAAAAGAATAAGATCTGTTATTTATTTCTATACAGATTTTGGTTATTACTGTTATTATATACATCAGTGAAATATATATTAAACCACATCAAAAGAGGAAAACAATCAACTGGGTCACAACCATTGATAGTAAAAAAAATTGTTACACAAAAAATAAATGAAAAGAAAGAATATATAACTACTGCATATGAACAAGGAGTGCTGCCAAAAATTTGTACCTTTCTTGTTCCAAACTTTCTACCAGTTCTATAAATTCATTCTCATGCATCATAAGTCTTTGAGGTTTATGTACCTGAATATCTGTAATGTATGTTACAGCGCAAAACCTCTCTTTTTCAATCCCTAAAAAGATCTTATTTCTGGAAGCTCAGGAATATTTGTTTTATTACTGTTAAATTTAAAACATTGCATGGTCCAGAATGCATTATTCAAAATGCTCTTTTTTTAAAGATAAATTAAAAATCATATTACTCAAGTTGCCATTTAAGTCCATTTTTGTTATTGCATACATAAAAACATGCATTTCTTTTCAATTACTAATAATTTTTATGGGCAGCATTTTACAATAGACTACACAAAAAACTTAGTGCTAAACACCAAAAATACAGAAAATATCTCTGCAATGTTTTCATGAAGAATTTATTACCATTATGGCTCAAGCTTGAGGATGTTTGCTCCTCTTTTTTTTGCATTTTTGTAAGATATTTGGAATCCTCTGGTTTTATCCATGTAGTGCTAATAGATATTTTCCCCACTAACCCCTACTTTTCATTTCATAATTTTATCACATAAAGTTTAAAAAGCCATATTTGAAAATCTTATAAAATCCTTGTTATTTTTTGACAGTTTTTGAAAGAAAAAAGGTGCCAATGTTAAATGTTTAAAAAAACTAGAGAGAATCATTTCCCGCCAATTTTTCAATGGCTTATATCTTGAAAACAAAGTAACGGACCCTTCATTTTTTTTCTGCTTTTTAAGTCCCGTTATTTATATACTATCAATTTATAACAGTCTTTTAAAAAACTAGTTATTTTGAAACAGAGTAGCGAACATCCTTAAGAAAGACTCCATATGTCAATAGAATTTTTTTCGTAATTCTCATTAGAACTCAAATATATAAAAAGTAGAAATCTCATTTATTTCTGTATAATCATTGAATTTAATATAAGACAAAACAATGAACAATGTCAGCTGATGAAAGATGCATATTACATAAATTGAGTATATGATGGACATGCATTATGAAAATGATATTAAATTAAAATGAATATGAAAACAAAAAAATGTACAAAAGCAGCTATGAATACACATTGGCACGTTAGTCATGTTAGTAATCTGTACACAATTCCTCATGGTTCTGCTGCATTGGTTTATAACTGTAGTCACTCACAAAGCCAACCAGTATCGAGGACAGTGATATGTACAATGTATATCGCAATAAACCTGTGATCATTCTACTTTCAACAAAATGTTTCTTAAAATGACTGTTTTGTTGATATAACATTTATCTATATCTAAAAATATTCCTTAAAAATGAAAGCTGAGTAACAATCAGATCATTGTAATCATGGTAATACTCTGTGTATATACAGATTCTACAATTGTGTCCAGGTAGATACAATATTTTTCTGCTCAACACTTACATTTTAAATATCAGAAATTTAACTGTCAAAGTGGAGAAATATCAAATATAACCACATTGAGTATAGCCTCAAATTTAGTAAATTTTAATTTTTATCTGATAACTTCAGTATGACATGTAGGCAAACTTTTATACTATTTGCAAACAAAAGTTTCTGTGTGAAATAAATGTCACATGGAATAATTGCTAAAACAGAAAAACAGCAGGAAAATTTGATATCATAATTTAATTGATATAATTCACACCTAAGAACAAGCAAACCACAAACTGACCATAAAAAAGATAACAACCAGCCCAGGAAAACTCATCTTAAAACTAGATAAATAGATTTAACTATTTTTACATTGCACATCATTTCACGAATCTACTTGTGATTGAGGTAAAAGGAAACACTATATATGCATATGAAATGAAGAAGTATCAACTTTATTAGTACTTAACCATTGAGATCATACCAATATTCATGTACACATGGACTGTATCTAGAAAAATGTGTAAGGGTTCCGCGGAACCCAGTGTCTCACCCACTTTTGCTGTTAGTCGCAGGCTCAGCAAAAATGGGGAAAAAAATTATTGAAAATTTTCCTCTAGATACTATCTTTTGATTGTAGGAAGCTTCTATCCAAGTTTGGTAAAAATCCAGGATGGTTTATGAATCTAATAAATGTTTTAAAAACTTTAACAGCAGACTGTATGTAATGTTAACTGGAAGAAAAACTAAGTCCATTTATAAGTAATATACGGAAAAACAGGAAATAAAATTTTTACAAAATTTCCTTCTAGATACTAGCTTTTGATCATAAACAAGCTTCTGTCCAAGTTTGGTAGAAATCCAGGATAGTTTAAGAAAGTTATTAAAATTTTAAAAACTTTAACCACAGAGTGAATGTAATGTTTACTGGCAGAAAAACTAAGTCCATTTATAAGTAAAATATGGATAAAAAGGATTTTTTTTTTACAATATTTACTTCTGGATACTATTTTATGATCATGAACAAGCTTCTGTCCAAGTTTGGCAGAAATCCAGGATAGTTTAAGAAAGTTATTAAAATTTCAAAAACTTTAATCACAGAGTGAATATTTGTGGACGCCGGTTACGATGATGACAACGGAATGTAGGATCGCTATATCTCGCTTTTGCGACAAAAGTCGCAGGCTTGACAAAAATCAGATACTCAACTGTAACAAACTATTAAATGTCATGGCAGTATTTTTATTTCTATGAAAAAAGGTTCGAAATATAAATATACTGTATATTCTCTGGTCTAAAATGTAAATAAATAACCTGAATTAAATGTTTCCGTTAAATGCAGATAGGTTGGTCTTTTTATCCTACTGGTCAATGTAATTACTAATACTGATAAATGAGCAATGGTTAGTAGCACTATTAATAAAACTTGTCACATAGATCTTACAGAAAACTTGTTCCAAACATATACAGATTGACAGTAATTGTTAATACTGTTCTATAGAATGTTTATAATTATCAAAATATAATCAACAATTCAAACAGTGGTAACTTAACTTTTTCTGTAACTTATATTCTAAGAATATTTTTAAAGTATCAATGAGAAATTTCCATAATGGTAAAAAAAGGGTGAACCTGACTAAAAATGGACTACAATCCAAAGGCAATAACCATTTAAAAACTGATTTATTGTTGACCTCACAGTCTTCAAGCGAAATTTTCTGTCGAAAATTAAAATGGCTATTGTAGGACAATTTGATGTGCAACTTTGAAAACTAAACAAAAAATTATTGAGAATGTATTTGACTTTCAGCAATCAACAGTTAAATCACCCTTTTCAGAAAGTCAGTTTTTACAGTAAGTCCAGAGATATCGTATTTCAAAATAAAAGTAAAATAAAATGCTCCGCAGGGCGCAGCTTGATAGGACCGCAGAGGTCGAACCCTGAACAGTTGGGGCAAGTATGGACACAACATTCAAGCTTGATACAGCTTTGCATTTGGATTGTGATTAAATATTTGACACAGCATAGGTTTCTGACACAGAATGAATGTGGTCTAAGAACTTAAAAATTTTAAATTGGACATTCACCTATTATGGTCCAATATCCAAAATCTAAATACATGGTTAGTTTCAGCATATCAAAGAACCCCAAGAATTAAATTTTTGATGAAATCAAATAAAGTTTAATTTTGGACCCTTTCGACCTCAATGTGGACAAAGTTGATAACGGGGCCCAAAAATCAAAAATCTAAATACATGGTTAGATTCAGCATATCAAAGAACCCCATATATTCAATATTTGTTGAAATCAAACAAAGTTTAATTTTGGAACCCGATTTGGACCAAATTGAAAACTGGGCCCATAAACAAAAATCTAAATACATGTTTAGATTCAGCATATCAAAGAACCCTAAGAATTCAATTTTTGTTAAAATCAAACTAACTTTAATTTTGGACCTTAATATAGACCAATTTGAAAACAGAACCAAAAATTAAGAATCTAAATACACGGTTAGATTCGGCATATCAAAGAACCCCAATAATTCAATTTTTGATGAAATAAAACAAAGTTTAATTTTGGACCCTTTGGACCTCAATGTGGACCAATTTAAAAACTTGGCCCAAAATCCAAAAACTAAATACACGGTTAGATTCAGCATATTAAAGAACCCCAAGAATTCAAGAATAAAACCCCATTGAAATTGGTCAAGAAATAAGCAATTTATAGGAAGTATCTTCATTTGCACAATACTGTGCAATTAAATATTTCTTGCTATTGCGCAATACTGTACAATTGACAATTTCTTGCTATTGCGCAATATTGTGCTATTGGATATTTCTTGTTATTGCGCAATACTGTGCAATTGAAGATTTCTTGATATTGTGCAATACTGTGCAATTGAAGATTTCTTGCTATTGTGCAATACTATGCAATTGAAAATTTCTTGCTATTGCACAATACTTATTATATAATAATTTACACATCCTGTTAGGTGTGTATCTCCTATCATATCATTATTATTTGCTTTTAAATATAAATCAGAAATAACCAACTTAAAATGGAAAATTTTAAAAGAAAAAATAGGAAAAAAAGAAAAAAAAGGAAAAAAAAAAAAATCCCCCCCCCCCCCAAATTTTTTGAACCCCCTTATGATTCATCGTACCCAAACTCAATCCCAGCCTTCCCTTTGTGGCATGGTACCTTGCAGTACAATTTCAGAAAGATTCATACACTTGAACACAAGTTATTGTCTGGAAAATAGAAAAATGTGTTTTTTGGCCCCTTTTTGGCCCCAAATTCCTAAACGTTTACGGCAATTACCCCCAAACTCAAACCCAGCTTTCCCTTTGTGATATGGAACCTTGTAGTACAATTTCAGAAAGATCCATACACTTACACACAAGTTATTGTCCTGAAACTAGAAAAATGCTTGTTCTTTGCCCCTTTTTGGCCCCTAATTCCTAAAATATTGAGGCAATTACCCCCATCATCAATCCCAGCCTTCCCTTTGTGGTATGGTACCTTGCAGTACAATTTCAGAGAGATCCATACACTGAACACAAGTTATTGTCTGGAAACTAGAAAAATGCTTATTTTTGGCCCCCAATTCCTAAACGTTTCGGCAATTACCCCCAAACTCAATTCCAGCTTTCCCTTTGTGATATGAAACCTTGTAGTACAATTTCAGAAAGATCCATACACTTACACACAAGTTATTGTCATGAAACTAGAAAATTGCTTGTTTTTTGCCCTTTTTTTGGCCCCTAATTCCTAAAATTCTGAGGCAATTACCCCCAAAATCAATCCAAGCATTCCTTTTGTGATATGGAACCTTGTGGTACAATGTCAGAGAGAACCATACACTAACACACTAGTTATGTCTGGAAGTTACAAAAATGCTTATTTTTGGCCCCTTTTTTGCCCCTAATTCCTTTACTGTTGGTACCATAACCCCCAAAATCAATCCCAACCTTCCTTTTGTGGTATTGAACCTTGTGGTAAAATTTCATAGAGATCCATTCACTTAAACTAAAGTTAGAGTGCGAAAACCAATGTGTCTTCGGACGACGACGACGACGCCAACGTCATACCAATATACGACCACAAAATTTTTTTTGCGGTCGTATAAAATGGCTCTTTTTTTATTTGAATCCATACAATTAAATTTTTCCAAATTAATCGTAGTAAATCACAGCAAACTTTTATAGAAAAGCATGATTAAAATGAATTTGTCATCAAGAACATTAGTCACAACAGCTGTCTTTTTTTAAATAAAACTTAAAGAAAAAGAATTTCCTGATAACACCAAATAATCATTAAAATTTCAACAAAATCATACAGGAAATGAACATACTTATCAGGTAAAATCACTGCATGAAACTTGTAGTGCTTTTTCTACAATTTAACAATTCAAATTCTGTGAGAAAGATATTTTCTACTCGTTGTTCTATCTGATGATCATTGCACTATTGGTTTAAGTTTGGACTGCAAATAAAAGTTTACAGGAATATGAAAGAAGTAATAAAAGACTTGTATATACTCCTTTATCATTTGTAACTTTAAATGTATATGTATTTATAAAAATTCCAACTTTAAAAAATAATTACAAATAGATTTGAGCTAATGTTGACTTTGCTTCACAACAGAAAATGAAGTAGACATTTCTGAATGCCAGCTCTGTGACTTTGTACCTAGGTAACCATTACTGTAGTCAGAAATATATACACCATTATTAGAATTCTTTTCATCAATCATTGCATCACCCCGAGAGAAAATTGTTTGAGAGTTTAATCCTTCATCCTCATTCTGATCCATCCAATCCTTATTAGATGCACGGATATAGCCATCTGACTTGCTGGCTGGTACATGAATTTCTGTTACATATCGTGGACTAGTGTTCACATGATTATGATTTGTATGATTGATGTCAATTTCCATATGTGGACTAGTGTCAACATGTGGAAATGGACCATTAAGTGGATGCATATCAATATCATCACCTGGTTGTGGGTCAAAGTTAACATTTTCAGTTTCCATGTTATCATAATCTGAGTGAACTGAGGGAGTTTGTTGACCATTTAATTCAGCAATATTTTCTACAGTTGTTTCGTGAGAGTTATGGCTATAATTTGCAGTAGTTGGAGACATATCATCATTGACAGGAGTATATCTAGCTTCTTCACCCATGTCAGAATCCCCTGCATAAGATGTCCGTGAACTTTGCATTGATAGTTTTGCATGATAATCAGCCAAAGACAAACGAGAATTTGCAGCAGTATCATAGTATGATGACTGGTCATCAAATGACAATTGGCTTGACTGCATAGAAGATGACTCTGCATGACTTCGTCCAAGCTCTGGTGTAAATGAATTAGATAAACCTCTCTTTCGAAGGTACCCTGCCTTTCCTTTGTGAGGGTTTCTTTTGAAATGTTCATCTGCTGAACTTGGGTTACGTCCCTTAATTATTTGTTCAATACTAGGTTCAATTTCTAGACCAAAAGGAAGAGTTGCTTCCTCATTGACTTTTGGTTTTGGAGGTAGTAACATCTTAGCTTTAGTCAGTTCCTCTATACTGACTTGTATTTGGTCCATTACAGCATCATCTTCATAACCAAAATCTTTCTCTAATCCTGACTGTAAATAGGCAACAGCATTTTCCATACTAAACTTTACTAATCTTCCTATAAAATAATTCAGACTAGTTGTTAACTATACCCAGAGTGCAATAGGGATTTTAGATTTCATTTAAAGGGTTTAATTTTCAGATGTTTACAAGAGGTCATTGTGTTACAATAGTCTAAAAACTTCTAGGTCACTGAGTATCGTTTATCATATTTGTTTTACGTTTATTGTTTTGAACAGGCCATTAGTTTTTTTCCAGCCTTTTATAGCTTACTATGTGGTATGGAAGTCTCATTGGCAATCATACCACATCATCTTTTTTTTCTATTCTGAGAGGTATTTTGAAAAGAAGGATGGACAGATGGTAAAATACTACTACTTTGTGCCAAGAGTATAGAATTTTTTTGCATGATTTTGATTATTTGTTGAGGACTTGAAAGCAGTAATCTTTTTTTCAAACTTTCAAATTTATACCAGACGTCACAGACATTAATCAACCTGTTACCGTATATCCAATTTTTTTCGAGTGTGCCTTATTTTCGCTTTGTTCACTGCATCTAAAGAAATGCGAAATTTGACTCTGTGTAAATTTCCCTGCATATTCCTATATTTTTAGCTGTTTAAATGGTTCATACATAATACTGTTAATTATCGGGTTACACGAAATTAGTACATAAACTCATTTCACCATACAGGTGAAATTAAATATATATAATCAGTTGTCTGTGTTGATCACAAGAATGTGCATAATTAAATAAGATCTCTGTTTTCATAATAAATAAATAGCCTACTCATACATGTCAATCATTTTGACAACACAGCATGTGACATGTTTAAAAATGTTGAGTAGCAACGACCTATTGATTGCTGTCATCACTGTAACATTTTGCATATAATGTAAAAATTAAATTAAAATAAATCATATTCACACTGATTTTTGCAAATATATATTATAAAAGTGTTCTATTATACCAGAAATTAAATAATAGTAACCTTCCCAATGTACATAATTTAACCAATTATTGAAAGATTTACGAATTATGTGTATTTAAGTTTGTAGTTCTCATATATTTTTGTATTTGATTATCCAG